CAGCTGCTCCTCACAAGTTCTCCAGCCCCTTCTCCTTCTGCTCCAGCCCCTTCCCCAGCTCCGGGGCCCTTCCCTGGACACGCTCCAGCCCCTCCATATCCTTCTTGTCCTGAGGGGCCCAGCCCTGACCCCAAGATTCCAGGTGTCCCCTCCCCAGTGCCCAGCACAGGGGGATGATCCCTGCCCTGCTCCTGATGGCCACACTATTCCTGGTGCAGCCCAGGCTGCTGGTGCCCTTCTTGGCCACCTGGGCACACACTGGCTCATCTCCATCCTCTATCAACCAGCACCCCCAGGACCTTTTCCCCTGGGCACTTTCCAGCTGCCCTTCCCCAAGCCTGGAACTCTGCCTCAGGTCGTTGTGTCCCAAGTGCAGGTCTCAGCATTTGGCCTTGTTGAACCTCATACAACTGGCCTTGGCCCACAGATCCAGCCTGTCTAGGTCCCTCTGCAGAGCCTTCCTGCCCTCAAGCAGATCAACACTCCCACCCCGCTCAGTGTCATCTGCAAACTTACCAAGTGTGCACTCAATCCCCTCATCCAGGTCATTGACCAAGATGTTGAACAGGACTGGCCCCAACACTGAGGCCTGAGGGACACCACTGGATCCAAGCCTGTTCAGCACAGCTCTTGGGCTCAGCCACACAGCCAGTTTTTCACCCAGCACAGAGTGCACCTGTCCAAGCCTTGAGCTGCCAGCTCATCTCCGGGAGATGCTGTGGGAGATGGTGTCAAAGGCCTTACCAAAGTCCAGGTAGACAACGTCCACGGCTTTCGCCTCATCCACCAGGTGGGGCACCTGTTCATAGAAGATGAGTTGGTCAAACAGGACCTGAGTTTCCTGCACCAGTGCTGGCTGGCCCTGATCCCCTGGCTGTGCTTACAGTGGCTGTGCTCACAGTGGGCCCTGACATGTGAGCCACTCAGGATGCTCCATAATCTTCCCTGGTACTGAGGTCAGGCTGACAGGCCTGTAGTTCCCCACATCCTCCTTGGGGCCCTTTTTGAAGATGGAGTCACAGATGGAGTTCAGCTATCCCAAAGGAGAAAAGGATTAATGAATTGGTGAGGCTCATCTAGAGGGCTTTAAAGTAGGTTTGAAGGGGATTGACTTTACCAGGTCCATTACAGATGAGCCCAGGGGCGGACAAGTCAATGTTGCGGATGAGACCAGTAACCCAGAAGGACCTGGTGGCAAAGGGCTGCAGAGAGCAGGGGGTGGAAAACTCCCTGAGGGGCTGTGGTGCCCCTGGCTGTGGGTGGGCAGTGCTGGGGCCAGTGTTGCCGTGACCACACAGACTCATCCCACAGCAGAGTGCTGGGGAGTGGGGGTCCATTGGTAGATTCCCCCTCCCCTCCTGCTTGGAACGCTCCATTCCCCCCTTGGGATGTGCCCATGCCCAGCACCTGGAGCTGCGTCTCTGTGACATCAGCCCTGGGCCAAGGACACCGAGAGCAGCACTGAGAGCAGCACCGTGAGCAGCACCAAGAGCAGCACTGAGAGCAGCATCGGCCCCACTGAGCCCTGCTCAGCTGTCACCAGCCCTGGTGTCTGGCAGCCATGGCTGTGCTCCTGCTCCTTGTCCTGCTGGCCCTGGGCTGGCCCGTGCACAGCATGGAGGACAACTGTGGGTGAGTGGCTGGGGCTCTGGGAGGGAGCCTGAGCACCCCTCAGGGGTCACTGGAGAGTGCCCACTTGCCCCCTGTGGCCACGCCACAGCTTCCATGGGCAGCCTCAGGGCCTGGGCAGCAGCTGGCACAGCTCATCCAGGGGCCACAGCAGACAGAGCAGGACAGATGCACGGCCCTGTCTTGCAGCGCCTGGTGGGGAGGGCAGAGGGCTGACCTTCAGCCTGAGCAGAGCAGCCCCTGGAGCTGCACACTGATGAGCTTCTGGTTACAGAATCTGCGGGCTCAGGCCCTTGGCGACCGACTCCAAGCAACGCATCGTGGGTGGCACCGAAGCACGGACGGGGGCCTGGCCCTGGATGGTCAGCATTCAGGACCGCTATAGCTCAGGCTCGGGGCACGAATGTGGAGGGTCCCTCATCAGCCCACAGTGGGTCCTCACAGCAGCCCACTGCTTTTGGAAGAAGAGGTAAGGAGGACCAGCAAAGGGGCATGTCCCCCCAGCACAAGCAGGTGTCCCATCCGCAGCACCACTTCCTCCTCCCGTCCCATCTCCTTGCGGCACAACCAGTGTCTGGGCACTCCCAGCCCGTCTGGGAGCAAGCTTAGGAGAAGGCTGGGCTGGTGCCACTGCTTCCTGGCAGCTTCCAGCCCCACATTTCTGGAGCAGGAAGCCAGCACAGCTGCACCCTTGGCAGCACTGCTCCCCTCTCTCCTGTGGGAGGCAGAAGGCAGGAGCTGCTGGGCTGCTGCAACTCGGGGCTCTGCTCCCCCTGAGCCCTCTCTCCGTCTCCTTTCAGGGCCCTTGACATATGGCGCGTGGTGATCGGGGCCACCAACTTGTTTCAGCGGGACATTGAGTTTGAGGTGCGCAACATCACCCACATCGAGTTCCACGAGGACTTCCACAACCTCACCATGGAAAATGACATCGCCCTGGTGGAGCTGAGCAGTCCTGTCCAGTGCACCCCCTACATCCAGCTGGCCTGTCTGCCCGATATGACAGTCAGAGTGTCAGAGCTGAAAAACTGCTACATCAGTGGCTGGGGTCACTCCAGAGCCAAATGTGAGTTCCCAAAATGTGCTGCTGTCCTGAGTGCCGGCTGGGCAGGCTGGGGAGTGGGGCTGGGCTGGCTGGCAGCAGAGGCCAAGGCCAGAGTCAGGCTGCAGGGACGTGTGCCTGTAGAGAGGTGCCCAGAGTAGGACATTGCCCAGAGTAGGACAGAAGGGAAGCCCTGGAAGATGCCTTCAAGACTTTGCCAAGCCTGGGAAAGGAGTTCACCAGACAGGGCTGGAGAACTGGCAGGGAGCTGCTGGGTGCTAATTCCTTTCCATGCTCACAGCTGCAAAGACCCCTGGATCCCTGCAGGAGGCCAAGGTGAATCTAATTGATACCCAGCTCTGTAACAGCACTGAGTGGTACAGAGGGGAAGTCCACACCCACAATCTGTGTGCTGGCTACGAACAGGGTGGCATCGACACCTGCCAGGTAGGAGCATGCAGCAGGTCCCCCCCAGCAGCATGGCCTGACAGTCCTGGCACAGCCCCCAGAGGGACCCGGCGTAGGCTCTGCCTGGCAAGTCACCCTCCCCTGGCTGGGTCCCCACCACTGCTGGGCCTCCCCTTCCCCTCCCCAACCACAGCTCCTTGCCCAGGGTCCCCTTGGCCCAGAGGCCCAGCAGACCCAGCCAGTGCTTAAGGCAGTCCATGAGTCCAGATCCCAGTCCCGGAACACGCACCTTCCACAGGCTCATGATCCCCTCCCAGACATGGTTCTGCAGCTCCAGCCCCTGAGCAGAGCCTCTCTGTGCAGCCAGCACAGCTCGGGCTGGTGCTGTGAGGGAGAAGGAGCCCCCATAGTGCTTGCAGGGGCCACCCAATACCACCTTCACTCTTGCTCCACTGCAGGGGGACAGCGGGGGCCCTCTGGTCTGCAGAGAGTCTGAGGAAGACTTATTCTGGCTGGTGGGAGTGACCAGCTGGGGGAGAGGCTGTGCCAGAGTGAGACAGCCCGGGATTTACACCTCCACTCAGTACTTCTACGACTGGATCCTGATGCACATGGGATTAGAGGAAGAA